GAGGTCTTAAGACACAGCGGGTGCCAGGGGTGAGCCAGATGCAGAGCTGAGCCCACCTGCCCGCAGGGACACCTGTGTTGTAGGGGACGCAGGACAGTTGGCAAGGAGGAGGCACATAAGATAATTCCAGAGTAAGGAGGGTGACAGTCAGGGCCCTGTCACCAGAGAAGGAGGCCAAGGCCTAGTGAGTAGGGAAGGCTTTCCTGAGGAGCTGCCACCTTGGCTGTGCCACCAGGGCACAGCAGCAGCATCTGCACGTGACGAGCTTCCTCTCACTGCGCCCCACCCCACCGGGCACCGCCCTGCACCTCCTACAGTCTCCTGCTCCTCTGCCCCTCATGGAGTGCTGGGCACTCACCCTTCCCCATGGAATCCCCGACCTGCCTCCGGCACAGCCCAGCACACAGGGCCTGCAGTCACCGACTCTTCATGTGGCCCAGAGCTTTGCAGTGCAGCAGCACAGCATCCCCTGGCACTTAAATGCAGAGTCTCAGGATACACCCCAGACCAACTGAATCACAATATTCTCTTTAGGTCGGGTGTGGTGGCTCATGCTTGTTATCCCAGCACTTTGGGAGGTCAAGGCTGGTGGATTACTTGAGGCCAGGAGTTCAAGATCAGCATGGCCAACATGGGGAAACCCCTTCTCTACTAAAAATACAAAAATTAGCTGAGCATGGTAGCGGGTGCCTATAATGCTAGCTACTCAGGAGGCTAAGACACAAGACTTGCTTGAACCCAGGAAGTAGAGGTTGCAGTGAGCCGAGATCATGCCATTACACCCCAGCCTGAGCAACAGGGTGAGATTTTGTCTCAAAAAAAAAAAAAAGATAGAATTCCACACTGCGTCTCCCTCTAGATTACTCAGCAGCTTTTGTGTAGGATCTGCGTGATTTTTCCTGTGCTGATCTTAGATAAACTGGAATGCCTGCTGTGTGTTGACACCAAGAATGAACAAGTGCTGCTTCTGCTTCCCACTCCGATTGGGGCTGGGAGAGTGCGGTGTTTGGGGAGAGAGTTGGTTCCATGGGTTCTGACTGCTTGTTCTGGCTGCACCGACAAGACTGTGATCCTCCTGGGAGAGGAGGATAGCATGCAGTGTTGCCTCCCTCTCTTCTAGGTACCTGGTGACCTTTAGCCCCCTGATGGACACGCAGGATGACCCTCAGGCCATAATCATCTGGGACATCCTTACGGGGCACAAGAAGAGAGGTTTTCACTTTGAGAGCTCAGCCCATTGGCCTATTTTTAAGTAAGTGGATCGTTGTTAACAAACTCTGTAGCCTTTTGTCTTATCATTGGAATACCCTGGCACTACTGTTTTCTTCTTAGGTGGAGCCATGATGGTAAATTCTTTGCCAGAATGACCCTGGATACGGTTAGTGTAAGGCCGGTTGCCTTGCCGGGAGCTCGGACACGCCCATCCCTCTGCACGCCTGAAATTACGTCACCAGAATCTGCACTCAGCATCTAGCTCTGCCACGCCCACCTCTGCACTCAACACTAAACTCTGCCCCTGGCACCTAGCCAGCCGTTGGAAAACCCCGCCAAAATTTAAAAGAAGCCCCACCAAAACCTGCCCAATAGCGTATGGCCCCGTCCAGTCCGCTCACCGGAAATCCCGCCTACCTACCTATAGCAGCTTGCCACATCCACATCCTGTTTCTCCACAGCCAATCAGAGCGCCTTCTCTCCCTATATAACCCCAAGCCTGAGAGGAGTCAGGCGCGACTTTTCTGGCCCCCTTTCCCTGGACCATAGAACCTCGCCTGGGAGTTGAATAAATTGACATCTAATTGTTCTCATGCAGGCCTCAGTTTCCTCACTTTAAACTCGGCAATATACCTCACAGAGAATAAACCTTACACTTAGCAACTATGAAACTCCTGTAAGTGGCTTCAGTGATGGGAAACACTCATCCCGTCCTTGCTTGTAATTGGGATGTGGTGCCTTTACTTACTTGTGCTAGAAGAGGAGGAGGAGGTTTCACAGGTGGCAGTAATGGCCTGTCTCCTGCACTGTTCTAACTGCTCCTGCTCTGGGTGAAGCTTTTTCGTCCCACCTGCGCAGCTGTGGGAAGTCCTGGATGGGAGTTAATGCAGTGAGCTTTGGAATTGGAGCTTGCGGTGGTGGATGGGTGGGTGGGTTCACCGTCACCCTCGCCGCGCAGTGCTCCCTAGGCAAACTCACATCAGACTTGTTTCCTTTTGTGAAAAGTTATGTGTTACTGAGACACTGACACGATTTGACTCAACTGTAACCTTCCCCTTTTTTTGGCCAATCTATGGGTCTTCTAGACAAGAAGAGTTTGAAGATCTCTGGGGTAAAGCGAGTGTTCTTATCAATTTGGCATCTCAGTGTGTTCAGGCTGCTTAACATAATACCAAAGGCTGGTTGCTTATTACAGCAGAGATGTCTTTCTCCCAGTTCTGGAGTTTGGGAGCCCGAGGTCACCGCGCCTGTAGACTGGGGAGGGCCCACTTCCTCGTGGACAGCCCCTCAGTCCAGCCTCACCTGGTGGAAGGCTTCTGGGTCCACTTCTGTAAAGGGCTTCATCCTCATGACCTGCTCAGTCCCCAAAGTCCCCACCTAATGCCATCACCCCAGGGGTTAGAATTTCAGCCTCCGAATTTGGGGTTCATAGATGTTTTCTACTGCAGTTGGTTTCCTTTATTTGCTCTCTCATTTAGTACTTTTTTTCTTTTTTTTTTCTGAGATGGAGCCTTGCTCTGTCACCCAGGCTGAGGTGCAGTGGTGCAGTCTCAGCTCAACACAGCCTCTGCCTCCCAGATTCAAGCGATTCTCCTGCTACAGCCTCCCAAGTAGCTGGGACTACAGGTGTGCACCACCATGCCCGGATAATTTTTGTGTTTTTAGTAGAGACAAGGTTTTACCATATTGGCCAGGCTGGTCTCGAACTCCTGACCTTGTGATCCACTTGCCTTGGCTTCCCAAAGTGCTGGGATTATAGTTGTCAGCCACCACACCCAGCCTAGCACTCAGTTCTTAACCAGTTGGAGAGAACGTGGTGAGCTTGTTCTTTTTTAAAAATATTTTTTTATTTTTTCTATTTTTATTTTTGAGGCAGTCTCACTCTGTCCCCCAGGCTGGAGTGTCATGATCTTTGCTCACTGCAACCTCTGCCTCCCGGGTTAAAGGCATTCTCCTGCCTCAGCCTTCTGGGTTGCTGGGACTATAGGTGCCCACCACCACACCCAGCTAATTTTTTTACTTTTAGTAGAGATGGGGTTTCACTGTTGGCCAAGTTGGTCTCGCCTCAGCCTCCCAAAGCGCTGGGATTACAGTCATGAGCCACCACACGAAGCCATTTTTTAATATTTTTTGAGATAGGGTCTTGCTCTGTTGCCCAGGCTGGAATACAGTGACATGATCTCGATTCACTGCAAACTTCGCCTCCCAGGTTCAAAGGATTCTGGTGCCCCAGCCTCCTGAGTAGCTGGAATTACAGGGGCACACCACCCTGCTCAGCTAATTTTTTTGTATATCTTAGAAGAGGGGTTTCACCGTGTTGGCCAGGCTGGTCTTGAACTCCTGACCTCAAGTGATCTGCCTGCCTGCCTCCCTTGGCCTCACAAAGTGCAGGGATTACAGGCGTGAGCCACTGTGCCCATCCTAAGGTGAGTTTGTTCTGAATGCCAGGATGAAGCCTCGAGCCGATGGGCAGCAAGGCTGCTCCGCGCTGGGCCCACCACCCTCGAGACACCACTTCGGCAACTCCTTTCTGTGCCCAGAAATGAATCTTCAAGGCCAGAGTCTTGAGTTGGCTTCCTTCCATCTACCTCATCTTTGACCTAGAAACCGGGAGGGTGGTTCCAGCCTTTTAAGGAAGAGAAGGGACTTTGCTTAAGCGAAAGGTTTTCCTATTACTATTCTGTCTGAGGCAGAGTTTGGGGAGCCTTCAGCTCATTTTCATTATCAAAGAATGGGCACATTTTTATTTATCAGAAAACTCTTGGAACTGGTCAGTATCACGGCAGTGAACTTGTACCAGCAATCCAAGGACATTGTCGTTTCTTACTCCTTTTATTTTTACATTTTGGGGCAAAATTATGGCTAACAAAATAAAAAGAAGACCAGAACGTTGGTTCTCAGTAAACGCAAAACAGAGCACATAGCGTGTATAAAGCTGTTTTTCGCGTAGGTGAGCTCAGGAACCGTTCCTTCCAGCAGCTCTTCTGTTGAGCACTTGATCCATTGGAGGGAGTAGCCCTCGTTCTTGCTCATTGCTTACACTTGATTTGCCGTTTTCCCCTTTGACACCTTAATTAATCTTTAGATGTCAGATAGCTGGATCTGCCAGCCTAAATTGCCTCAAAGCAGCAGTATGTGATGTCTAAGAGTGGGCTGACGGAGCCCAGGCTGGAGTCTATAGAGTCTGTGCATGACGGTGGGGTTGCTCATATTTTGTCTGCATTCACTCCCTGTTACAGCAAGCGCAGTAATGCCCCAGGGTCCTGGTGAAGACCTGTGAAGCTGTGTGCCATGCCCAGAGCAGTGTGTGATGTGCGGAGTGAGCGCTCAGCGTCAGCTGTGACGGCATTGAGTTTCTGTACAGCAAATGAGTTGTTTTATTCTCTTCTGCTTTTCAGTTTCCTCATCACTTGGTCTTTGCTGTAACATTTTATTTTCCTGATCTGCAGAGACTTTTCTTGGTCTCCTGGTGGTAACATAATAGCCTTCTGGGTGCCTGAAGACAAAGATATTCCAGCCAGGGTAACCCTGATGCAGCTGCCTACCAGGCAAGAGATCCGAGTGAGGAACCTGTTCAATGTGGTGGATTGCAAGCTGCATTGGTAGAAGAATGGAGACTACTTGTGTGTGAAAGTAGACAGGACTCTGAAAGGCACCCAGGTACGTGGGTGCCCACAGGAACTGGAGGTTCCTTATCCTTTGCTCTTCAGTGACCACTGTATTGTTTGGAGGCTGTTAAGGGATTTTTAAATTCAGATTTGTGGGTTATTTTGATACCTTCCTGATATAACTGGCAAGTCTTAGTTAGAGATCTTGGCATTTTCTATTTGAAGAGTACAATTTTTTTTTTTTAAGAAAAGTTTTTCAAATAGGCTGGGTGTGGTGCCTCATGCCTAGAATCTGAACACTTTGGCAGGCTGAGGCAGGATTGCTTTAGCCCAGGAGGTCAAGGGTGTAGTGGGCCATCACTGCACCGCTCTACTCTAGCCTGGGCCACAGAGCAAGACACTGTCTCCAAAATAAGTTTTGAATAGATATTACAGTCACATGGTTTAGAGTTCACAAAGGAATACAGTAAAAGGTCCCCAGACATCCACCTTTTTTCTATATTGAGCCATGGCCCAGTGGTGCAGCCTCCTTGTGGGGCAGGACTCCTCTCTGAGCCCCATTGGGCCCTCATATTTAAGCAACTATTTCCAAGGCTTCTGTTCTCTGTCATTGTCTCAAGTGAAGCTGTTTCTCTTATGGCTGTAGCTGCTGTCTCTGGGCTTGGGGTGACTTCCTGTGGACATGCTCCTGCCAGTCCCCAGTCTGGGTCGGGTTCCTCTGACCTTGCAGGGAGTGAAGAGCTGTTCCAGGCGGCTGTGCCTTGCCCCCGTGCACCTGGTTCCAGAGCTACTACACTCACCTACCTGGGGCTTGCTCCTCA